CAAAACTCCCAGAGCCAAAATGACCTTGTTGCATTTACATGATTTATAACAAAGAAAGGCAGCACATCTTCACTGTGGACAAGCGGCAGCCAGAAAATGATAAGCGTTTTTTCACAATTGTTGCTTGAAAATGAAATTCATCTTCCGCGGCTTCTGTCAGAGTGAGGCTGAGCACACCCTGTCATCTGATCAGACTGGACTGATTAATGCAACACATTCATGACTGAATGTGGGCTCCAGAGAAGGCATGTGTCCCCCCTCCACACTCTCTTCAGGATAATTAATCCCTTGTAGGCCAGCAGGGGGAGACACTGAGCTCTGACCTTTGTCCTCAACTGTAGGTCTCATGTAACCAACAGGCTTAATAATTTACCTTCAGAACAGCAGAGACTAACCGATGTGCAGTCAGTCAGGACAGTTAACCTGAGAAGAGACGCGACAGCTTTCAGCAGGATCACACTGATATTTGAAATGTGTCTGTCGTTCTTAGATGTGACGATCAGAGCATAGTATAACTCATGCTAGGGCTATGTGAGGTGAAATGGTTAAGAGTTACTCATATTTGGGTCAAAAAGCTGCCAGAGTTGTCCTCGAATATCTCCCACGTCAATAGTGCATTTTTAATGTAAAAATAATCAAGAGGCCCTTACTGTAGGGAACTAAAACTGGAGTAATCTGCTTAATAGATTTGCAGACAAAAAAACAAATTAGTGAGCTTGCTGTTGAACCCAAAACCCTAATACCCCGTTAGGAATTCAGCCCGGATAAAAAGGGCATTTGCACTTCATAAGCACTGAAGGAATTTTTCAGTTCACTTTATAGAGGACACTGACCCAGAATGGACCTCATCTGGTGACACAGTTTGGGAGAAAAGTTAGTGCAGGTATGTTAAGTTTCGTTCCAGCAATCACTGAGCTCCATACTGAAAACACTGAGTCCAGCCTGTCCTCAACACTTTGCACTGGTTTCAGCAGCCCTTTGGCCCGTTGGTCACCTTACCCTCTGTCTTGTGTGGCATCAGAGTAATCTCTGAAGTTGTTCAGTCCGGTGTGAACACTATAGGCTTCAACGTGCTTCACACATTGCATTACCAAACCCCTGAAGGACCCGGATCCTGGCACTTTCTCCTCTGAGAAACACTCAGGATGTTAAAGTAACATCCACGGTCACATCCACATCCAACACAAGTTTGGAACCTACCAGTACTCTTTAAAGACTAACTTTTTACCAGCATTTTTTAACGGCCTTATTTGGTCTGTTGCCCCACCATGCTTCTGTAACCACAGTTGTCACAGTGATGTCACAGTGTACTGACACACACTGTAGCAGCTAGGAGGGAAGTTAAACAAACAGAGGTCAGCAAAGACACAAGGTTTTCAGTAGATACCAGCACCAGACAACTAAATGGATACTGATTTGAGACGGAACAATTTCAACTCAAGGCTCACTTACTTGCTTTTTCAGGAGCATCACATGGTCTTTGTTAGCAGATAGTACGCTCAGTTGTCATGGAGATGTATCCGTTGACATCTGGCAAAAGCGGGTTGGCACCGCTCTGTCAAACTACAGTTTCCAAGGTCATGAATTATGAATTATCTGTTGTGATGTTAAATGTTTATTCTCTGACATCAATAATGTAAGCACTGTTTGTACAAATGCCTCAGTTATGTTTGTGGATATACCACAAATGTTAAATTGGGCAAATTGAGTACAGGAATTTTACATTCAAGCCAAACGGGTTCACACAGTGTGGGCTGAGCCTCTCACCAGGTGCTGGTAAATCTCTGTGTGCTGGCAGTGAACCGATGGTGATGTGTTTTATGGCAACCAGCAGGGACGGGTTTGCCAGAGCTGAGGGGGCAGGTGACCGTAGTGACAGCAGTAACTCAGTATGGCAGAGTCTGTTGGTCCTCTGAGTGGTGTGATTTACTCTCACTGTAAGAGGGGGGAGACAAAGATCCACTGCAGCTTCAAGTACAAACGATCTTGTGAGAAAATGAGACCTATGACAGATCTCTCCTCCTGTGCGTCTTAGTTGAAACTTATTTTGTTTACCAAAACATTAGCTAAAGTTAGCTAAAGGCTTTGCACTGTTGACTGCACTGACAATGAAGTTTGTAGTTTCAGAAGACCATCGAATGATAACAGTCACGCGTATAAATGCTAAAAGCATAATTTTCACATAATTATATTGTATAATTATTATATAATTATTTTATAATAATTTTATAGAAAAGTTTATTTATTAAAAAGGACCTTTCTCAAGTCATACAGTGACGCAGTGCTTAAAACTGCCTGTAACTGTGTGATATGGTGATATAATCTTTGGGGACCAGGAAATAGAAGTAGTGTGTGTGTTGCCCTCAGCTCATTACATTACACACTGGGTACGGTGAAAATAAGCCAAGCAACACGTTGGTTTGGACATTCAGTGAACGCTCCTGTTTAAAGCTCAGGTGTAGCGACCTGACAGGCTGGCTTCATGTTTTATTTGGTGAGTGGATCTAACGTTTTTTTGTTTTATAATCATACCAACATGTGCAGCTTCAGAGGGTTAAGCATTGCACTTCATTAACTAGAGATGGTGACTAATGAAAGGAAACCAGCATGAAGCGTGGGTCCAGCACCAGCCGCTGTAGCGCTGATTGGCATTGACTTGAGTCTCTGAACTTCTTCTGTCCGCCTGAGGTCTGGTGACCGTGAAGGCTGTAGCATCTGATTAACATAATTTTCATCCTCCTCAAACTGATCAGGGAGCATCAGGCCCTGTGGTGGGGCGCTGTCATCCTGGAGAGACCACTCCAGGGACACAGGAGTGGATTTTCACTCCTGTCCTGTCAGTCCCACAACAGTGACCTCTTCTTATAGATTCTCTGGGCTCTTGATATAAAGTCAGAATCAGCATGTTTAGGTTGCTGTTAATGCAGAGCCGCTGTGTGGAAGCATCTGCACTCGTTATCGTCTCCACTGATTTATTCAGCTATTTCCTTTCATTTGTCACCTGTTCATTTGTGTGAACGTACTAACTTCACTTTGAGAAACAGATTTTCCCTCTTCCCCTATTTAATTCCTGTACATGCTTTGAGCGCTGTGTTTGGGAGCCAGGGTTTGTTTGGCTTGGAGATGTGACTTTGTATATGTACTCATCCACTGCTAAAGAAGTTGCTACTTCAGTGTGCGCGCGGCCAGCGGAGATGGAGGATGTAAATACTGTAAGAAATACTGTGAAAAAGCTTACTATACAGTGATCCTTCACACCTCTGTAGGAGTGGCAAGAAGAATTATTAACAGTGAATATTTCCATTAAAATGTATATAATAATAAAATGTCTGTGTGCTTGTGATTTGTCCGCTCTCTAAGTTCTTCTCCATGAACCTACCAATATATGATGAATATATAATCATTTCCTCCCGTTAGTTTGTGTGCCAACCGACTTGGTGCTGGGGCTCCCGTAGGAGGGAGGATGGTGGGACATCCTACCAAAGTAGTATAGACTAACATCCAGGCATGGAGCTCTGCCCTTTTCTACTCACAATCACACCATCACATTATCGTGTTTAATCTACAGGAAGATATACTTTAATCCGTGGCAGGATGTGGCAGAAAACATTCGATTCCAGGCACTCAAGCAGGGTAAAGAGTGTTTTAATACCGGGAGGTTTATCAGGTTAAAATACACCTGTGGTTTACATTAATGTTCCTATTTCAAACAAAAGGTAACTTTAATTGTTTGCTTGTTTTAGTCATACATATTACGTTTAAAAGCATAGTATTTTGCTTTCATTTTAGCAGCTGGAGAGGTAATGTGCTGTAGAAAAGGAAATGAACATATGTACATTTGCTTTTTTTTTTTGCAAAATAAGGGCTCACTTGAACATCAATTAATGGAGAAAATAATCAGCAGATCAATCCAGAATGAAAATAGTTATTAGTAATATTTACAATTTCACTCATTAAATAGTTCAAAACTAGCTCCCCTCAACCTTAATTAATGTATGAGGAATAATAATCTGATATACAATAGTCACAGGACATTGAGTACTTTTACTTTTAATACTTTAAGTACATTTTCCTCATTAAACTCGATGCAAAACTTTTACTAGTAACATAGTATTTTTACAGAGTGGTATTTTTTTTTACTTAAATAAAGGATCTGATGCTTCATCCACCACACACACACACACACATAACTGAGTATGTAGAATAATTATTGGAAAAATACTGTTTGGCATATCAGCAACCCATGACAAACCTACAAATAATACATTTTACTGTTGATATTTAAGAACTTTTGTACTTTACTCAAGTAGAAATTTAAAATTAAAGAGTAATGGTATGTGTACTTTTATTTAAGTACAGAATTTGTGTACTTCGTCCACCACTGGTCTAAGATGGTTCAGTCCAGTACAGCAGCCCAGCAAGCAGGTCAGGATGTGCACGAGGTCCTCATCTCTTCACAGTTTGATATTATGGGATGGTACAACCACACATGTAGCAGCAGTCCCTGGCAACAAGCTACACAATGTTGGACCCATCTGTTCACGGTCTGAATGTTTCTTTAGCTTTTCTTTCAGCCTCATCAAACCTTTTCTAACAATGAAACTTGTATCTCAAACTTCACGCAGTCCCGAACTCCTTCCACTGTTTGGAGAGGTTGTTCTTGTCCGAGAAGGAAAAGCACAGGTGGTAATAATAACAGCTCTGATCCCTTCAGGTGCCTCAGTGTGAGACAACAGGGATTAGAGTTATTAGTATTTACAGCTGTGTTGGACAAGTTAAAATTTCCACACAAAATATTACATTTGATTTACGTAGACTTTTGCAATGTGATTAATTCATGATATCTGATCTATAGAAAGGAGAAATACCAGGTGGAGGTGTAATGTGTACATGCAGTGAGCTGAGGTGGTGTGTTACTGTGGGAACGACCTCTGAATTATGGAGCAAAGTAATTACTGAACCACCCAGGGCGTCAGGGGAGAGATTCTCACACAACACAGTTAACACAACCAATTTATTGTCTTTCAAGAAAAAACCAACAACACAAAACTCTGAAAACATAAACACCTTTAAATTACACAGGCTCTTATAAACAAAATAAAGTCTTTCTATATTTACATCAGCAGGGGTGACTCTAAAATAAGATAAATCTCTCTACACTGACCATGACTGGAAAGGATGAGCCCTGACCCCGAGGTCTGACATTTGTCTTTGCACGCCATTTTGATTTGTCAGCCTTGCAGTTAGCTGAAGGTGGATTGACCCCAGTGTTATTTAGGTCCACTAGGTTTCCGTTAGATTGTCCTATTGATCATTGAGTGGTGAGAACAAAGACACCAAAGCTATCTATATTTTGTGCGGTTTCCTTTTTCCCAAAGTGAAGTCGGGCATGTTTTCAACATGTCTGTCACACACAAAGTCCTTTTACAAGCTTGTTTGTCTTCCTTATAATTTTCAGCACCAGCATGGCAGTACAGCCTTATTATCAAAGAGCATAGTGTAGCCCTGGGCTAAACTAAATTGTACTGGGGACTCATAGATGATTTTGGTGTCTGCATCCTCATAAAGTTGAACATTAATTCAGTCATCCACAACTTTAGCACTTTGATAGCTGATAACAATAAATGTCTCTCTGTATCAGGCATTAGAGAGTACATCCTGCACTGAGCAGCAGCAGCAGCAGCTCCCATGTCAGCTGTGATTGGGATTGATTTGCCTCCCTGTTAGATGGCTGTGGAACAGGAAAATAAATAAGAAGGCAACATTTTAGACTATTCAGATGCAACTTCACCTTCATTCTAATATGAGACCGGCTGAGCTGGCGTTTAGTTTCACTTTCAGTCTTCAGACCTGAAACTAATTCCAGTGCAACTTCAGAAGTGTGAATATCTTGGAACAAGGCCCGCTGAACTAGTACCAAGAAAATGACCATTCCTGAAAAATCGTGACAGTAATTCCTCAAGATTAAAAAAATAGATCTATATGATGTGTATGGATATTTTCTGCAGTACTGCGGGGGGCTGCGTGCAAAAAGCAGCAAGAAAACAACATTTGGATACACAGACAATCAGTAACACTCAGAGAAGCAAACAGAGGTATAAAAAAACAGGTGAAGCTGGGGTCAACCCACTGTGCTGTGGAGAGAGAACTGATAGACACCAATACAGCATTTACAGCTCAACTGATAAGTGTGATGTGGGAGGACGAGGAGGGAGGAGGGTTTACTGTATATAATCTGAGCTTCAGCTAATTAAAAATTTGTTCTGAGAGGAAACCATTAGCCGAGACAAGCCTTAACTAAAACATTCATTTCACTGGTGGTGACAAACACAATTCGGTTACAAACAACTCACTTAAAGACAAAAATCTCGTCTTGGATCCACTAGACCAGAGATTTTCTAAGGGGGAGGGGAGGCCTCCCCAGGGGGGCTTTAAACTGTTTCATGGGAGGCTCAGAGAATGGAAGTCATACAGTATGACATTACGTGTTGTTAGTTATCAAAGTGAGATTACACAGCCTACACATGTGTGGATTGGTTAAAGACAGGCATGAGAGATACGGTAGTTTGTGAAATTCGGCTGTGTTTCCCAGAAACTTAAATAGGAGGACAGACCTTTTTATGTGTAGTTATATCAAACAGTAAAATTTGCAGATTGTTGAGTGTCCAGAAATTCAGTCAAACTACACAAGTAGAGGGGGTGTGAGGGGGCGCCTTTTTCAAGCTTTGTCTGAGGGGAGGCCCACAATCCCAGACTTTACCCCGGATCTAGACTGATGTAGAGTATGGGTTGTTTTAAGTGAGGCAGATTTAAAGAGAACTGCTGAGAGCTGCTGTGATGTGATTCCATCTTTCTTCAACATGTCATATGACTTGAACTGGTTGGCAGGTATCTGAACCATGCGTTTGCTGGGTTAGATGTAATTTATTAACAGCCTGTGTGACAAAATCATTTCAGTGTTCTCAACACTACGATGCTTTACTGTCGAACTCAGCAGGCAGCTGTGCAGAGGTATGTTTCTGTTTCTTGGTAAGGACATAGAGAGCTATGAAATCTAAGCTCTACTCTTCAATTAATAATAACCAGCCATTACCAGCAGGGGGCAGTGCTGACATACTGATTACACAGCTTCATCACAGGCCTGTTGCCCCAAGCAGAGAGAGAAGCATAATGACAAACCTCCTACATTAGAACTTCACTACACCGTCTGTAGTCTAAAACAAAGCAGCTGATACAGTGAAGCCTGCCCTTGTGTGTGTGTGTGTGTGTGTGTGTGTGTGTGTTTTAGGGATGTTCCCGACTAAGGATTTACATAGCCGAATCAGAATTGTCAAGTCTGGCCTATAGTTGACTGATAGTCCAATCATATGAGTGTCGCACAACTCGGCACAACACCAGTGAAGCTGGTACTCAGTCTCCTCAGCAGGTGTTCCTCTTCTACCACCACACCCATACACGCTAAGCCCACACATGCTCACTGATGCCCTTTCCTTAAGGGTTAGGGTTACAATTTTGGATTTATTCACGCACTTTAAAAGCATTTATTAAAAAAAACTTCTTTCTTTTCACATGTTTCTTTTCAGCATTTTATGTTGATATTGATATTGTTATAGGCTGTATATTAACTTAGTAGTTCTATTTAAAATCAGATGTTGAGCACCCCCATATCTGCCAAAATGGTATGATCCTCATTTCATAACGCCGTTGCAACACTTGACTGTGAGATTGACAGTCAAATCAGGCTCCGCCCATCGAATCTTCAACTATTCAGGGTCAGCCCTAGTGTGTTTGACGTTTTCTCACCAGATCTCTTCACTGACAGGTGGGCAGTTTTCTAATTCAGTAACAGTGCCTTCCCATATCCCCCGTTCATCCTCCCCCCTCCTCAGCTCCCCTCTCATCCCTCACCTCCACTTTCCTTTACCCCCACCCCCCTCAGTCCGTCAGGAGCACCAGTTCCCCCTCGCTCCTCTCTCCCCTGTCGCTTTCCTCTCCTTCGCTGCATGGAGGCCGCTCCCTCTCTCTTTCCGTCCCTCGTTCCCTCTCTCGCTCTCTAGGCAGGGAAGTAGGTGTGGCCTGGCCCTCTGGTCGACGTGTTGTGGGCGGGGCCTGCGGCAGGTAATGCTCCAGTAACGCAGGGTGAAAGGGCATGGTAGCCACCGAGACCGAACCAGCACCAACCGGGTATTGGCCATCACTGTGGGAGTAGTGGATCTGCTGTGGTTCTGTTTGACTGAAAAGACAAGAAGTGACACGATAAGGCCGAAAGCATGAAGTGGCTTACATGTGTTGATACATTAGAGTACAGTACAGTACATTACAGTACAAATTTAACTGGTATTTAGCGAGAGCAGCACAACACGCTACAAGCACCGGAAATGGAAATGAGTCAACACGCTTACCGCAGTACGTCAGCAATCGTCACCAGTCTGCTAACACAATGCTACTGGTATTCAAAGATGTTGAGGTTTCACTGCCCAAATGTCACAAAGGAAGCACGTATAGAATTACACCCTCGCATTGAAATACACAACAGTGAGATAAAAACAGCACTCAAAAGTTCAACTTGAAACATAAGTAAGTATTTTTGTATTTCTCAAACCACAAAAGAAAGCAAATCTCAATATTAAAGCTGCAAGCAGCGTTGGGCGGGCCCTCGCACTTGTAGCGCGTCCGCGCGTGATTCGGCCGAGTTGCATATTCTGGAGCTCTGCCGGTGCGGCTGTGAATTTGTTACGCGGTTATGTCGCCGCATGAAGGTGTTATATGTCACTTCCTGTGTCCCCTATGTGGAGCTACATAGCACTTGCCGCTATGAATATAAATCGGTATTGGTGTGTAGATATCTTCGGGGTGGGAGAGTTATCAAGCACGTAAAGTTTGTTTCAGATGTGAGCATGTACACTGAACAATAATGTACCCAAACAATAAAATAAATTCCTTTTATATTTCCCTGCCTTGTTGTTTATGTGTACATACAGAGGAAGAATGTGAGAACAGCACACATTTCATCGTTACTGTGTGTTAGAGCATGGGAGAACAGTGGATACTTTTAATACAGCCCACACCCCTAATACTGTGTAACTATAACAAGTAGAGAACAGAAGAAAAAGATGTTCTTTCTTTACAACTGTCTGCATAGCTTATTCATATTGTGTAATGAATGAAAATAAATAGGCCTACTAGGCTCCTCTCTACTTTGACATTTAAGATTAGCTTGTTTGATCCACCTTCATACACATGTGACATTACTGTACAACTTGAGAAAGGTGAGTTGTTTTCTGCTCCAGCCTGCCTAAAAGAAAAGCCTTTTTGGGATTAAATGGACTTTATTAGCTGCTGCAGTGCAGGATGAACTCAGAATAGACCCATTTCTCACCTTATTATTCTAAATCATGCAACGAAGAAGAAGAAATGCATAATAAATCCTGGGACAAAATCTGTAGTCAAATACTGTACAGCATGTAGTCTGATGAACAAGACTTGTGTTATAGCTGACTTGGGCAGTGAAATGTTTAATTTTTTTAATTCATGTGGTCATAGTTGTCCACAACTCAAATCAGAATATAAGAAGAAATGTTTAATACCACCTCAAGAAGGCTTCCTATCAGAAAGGTAGGAAGGTATTTCAAATGTACAACTGCAGTACTTAAATCTAAGTAAAGTAATTTCCCTGACATTTTTGTGTTACTTTACTTTTAATAGACGCATGTAACAGGTTTTATACTTCCTGTGAGTATAATCCAATCAATCTTATTTTCATACTGTATATCCGTTGTGTAATTTGATAAATTGTGTTGTATGTCGTGCTCGCATCATGTACTACTGAGACTTCATTGCCCTCTTCAGAGAAGACTCTGACTGCAACGTGCGTCTTTGTAAAGAGAGAAACGGACAGAAAAAGTCTCTAACTCTGCCTGTCAGCTCGCTCTGCTCCGTTAAAACTTCATTTACCATACAGAATTGAATACGAGTGCACTCCAGATTTAGCTGCAGCCAGCTGACCGTGTGCTTCTCCCTATACCGCAGTTCTGTGTCCATGCATGCAGCAAACTGAAAGCACTGTCTGTCGGTGCGTCTACGTGAAAAGAGAAGGAAGACATGGCTGGTAGTATTGTCTTCAGAGTTGTTAAACACCTCAGCGCACTGAAGGAAGCCATCTGACTGTGTGAGGGGCAAGATTGTTGATGTCTGCAGGCAGAGTAGGCCTAGAGCTCTCCTGTCTGACTGGTCCACCAATAGCAGAGAAGATGACCCCTTGAGACACAGCCCCTCCTCATTTGCATAATGAGGCAGAAATGCATACAGAAATTTAAAAAGGACAGGAAGAAATAAAAGAGAAAGAAAATAAATAAGGTAAATAAATACAAAGGAAGAATAAAACACACACATAAATAAATACATTTAAAAAATTAGTAATAAATAAAGTTGAAGATTATAACGGAGAATAAATAAATAAGGTAATTATAACAAAGGTGAATAAGTAAAGGCACTAATTAAAATATATACATTTATGTCTCCTTGTATAATTTAATTAATACCTACATTTATTTATTTACTTTATTTTTTTGTGTATTTAATTGGATGCTTATTTATTTATTGAGCATTTATTTATTTCTGTATTTATTTCTGACTGTGTCAGGATCGGTCCTCCATAGCGGGGTGGGAGAGTTATCAAGCACGTAAAGTTTGGTTCAGATGTGAGCATGTACACTTAAGTTATAACAACTTCCTGTGTCATGGCGAAGAGTTGATCTTTGACGCCACGCCACGGACACACCCATTGACAAAAACTCACAGATAGCACAACTTTTCATCTTCAATGCCTTTAGAAGGCACAGCAGAAATTTGAAGTCGGTCGGACTAAATCCCTAGGAGGAGTTCGTTAAAGTACGAAGTGTGTAAATCATCCAAAATTTGACGTAAAATTCAAAATGGCTGACTTCCTGTTGGTTTTAGGGCATCGCTCCAAGAGGCTTTTTTGTACGTCTGGACAAGATACACGTACCACAGAAAATTCGTGCACGTAGGTGAAACGTGCGGCGGGGGCTGCTTCGTTAAAGGTCACTTTCTGTTGCCAGCAGGTGGCGCTATGACTGTGGGTGAATGTCGGCATGTACATGTGTTCAAGGCGGGACTCTCATCCTACATGTACACTTTGGTCCAGATGTGAGCATGTATACTGAAGTTACAACAACTTCCTGTGTCATGGCGAAGAGTTGATCTTTGACGCCACGCCACGGACACGCCCATTGACGAAAACTCACAGATAGCACAACTTTTCATCTTCAATGCCTTTAGAAGGCACAGCAGAAATTTGAGGTCGGTCGGACTAAATCCCTAGGAGGAGTCCGTTAAAGTACGAAGTGTGTAAATCATCCAAAATTTGACCTAAAATTCAAAATGGCCGACTTCCTGTTGGGTTAGGCTATGGGTTCTTGAGGCTTTTTTGTGCGTCTTGATATGATACATGTCCCCAGAAAATTTCGTACATTTAGGTTGAACGTGAACGAGGGGCTAATCTTTTCCAATTTTCTAGGTGGCGCTAGCGAGTCATTTTGCCACGCCCATGTGCGAAACTTGTAGAATACGAAATTTTTCACCGGTTCTGACATGTTTGCAAATTTTGGTGAGTTTTCGAGTATGTTTAGGCCATGTCAGTTGAGCCTACTTTGCAGAAAAAAAATAAAATAAAAAATAAAATAATCTGAGCAAATTCAATAGGGACCTCACACGGTCATGCTCGGGCCCTAAATATATATATATATATATATATATATATATCTTAGCAAATTCAATAGGGACCTCGCACGGTCGTGCTCGGGCCCTAATAATCTTAGCAAATTCAATAGGGACCTCGCACGGTCGTGCTCGGGCCCTAATAATCTTATCAAATTCAATAGGGACCTCACACGGTCATGCTCGGGCCCTAATAACACACTGCAATCAACTCAAAATACACATCAGCCGCAGTTCAGTCCAGTTTAACTAAAGTAGCAACATAAATTCACTCCATCACCAAATATCATCATAATTTCAATCCATACAAAGTAGCGATTTAAATTTGGTCCATTACAAAGTAGCCTAGGAAAAACAAAGAAAATTGGCCAGCGCAAAGTAAGGGGTTTTGTCAGACTTACGAATGGGACAACTGGATGTCGGTGATGATTATACTATACTATATATAGAGGTGGAGTAGTTTGTATCTGGTATGGTGAAAGAACATGATTGTAGATGACTCGAACGGTTTCAAGGGATTAACTACCTCAGTTTTTTAGCTAAACACGCTCTAACAAAGAGCGTGTTGCAACTCTGACAGAACAAAGATTTGTTACAACTCTGCTACTCTCAATCCTCTCTTCCTCATTCATTTTTCCCTCACCTGCTATTTGCTGGGTGGAAGATTCAGCGGTGGCTCAAGCGCAGAGCGAATCAGAGAGAACAATTAAGAGTGGGTGTTTACGGGGCGGTGCAGCCTAGTAGTTGCAGGTTGTCACAGTTTGATTATTATCTTGGAGTCAAACTGAAATTTGACCTGTGCACGGAAATATAAACTATGATGTTATTGGAGGTATTGTGCATCATTTTTCATTTTTCAATAAGATTCTAGGTCGGAGTCTCCATGGCAGTAATGAATGGCGAAGTGGGAGGGGCTAAGTACCATGCATTTTCCCACCGATAGTGTTGGGGGAAGCACTTCCACGGCTTGGATGTAGTTCTTGGATAAAAAGTCGAAGGTACAAGCTTGTGTGTATTTGCATCACTGAGGCTCATTGGTATTGTAGTTATTTACAGCACGTATGTCAAACGAATGGACCAAACCGGCTGTGGGTCAGGAAGTAGAGCGGGTTGCCCGTTAATCGGAAGGTCGGCGGTTCAATCCCCGGCTCCTCCTCCTGCGTGTCAAAGTGTCCTTGGGCAAGATACTGAACCCCGAACCCCTCTGGCGGCTGTTCCGCCAGTGTACAAATGTGTGTGGATGTTAGTTTCTGTTTGAGGACTTACGCTCAGTGAATGAATGTGTGTGAATGGTGAATGCAGATGTAGTGTAAAAGTGCTTTGAGTGGTTGAAAAGACTAGAAAGGTGCTATACAAGTACGGAACATTTACATTCAACCTGATTTCTCAAACAGAAGATGATTGTTATGAACATTATCTGGAAGAGTCCTGAGTTTTTCTATGTTAAGTAACAGTGAGGGGAACGTGCTGTGGGGTTTGTTTTTCACTCGGAGAGTGGAGGCCAGTTAGCCTAGCTTACCAACGGTTGTAGCCCTGTAGAGCGAACATTGATAAGACATTTTCCCTCTTGGTGGTTTTCTGTTGGGGCCGTCTGCTCCTTTCTACATTCATCATTTTGAACATTTAGGTTTGTATTTTACTCAGTTTCACAGTGCTGGATTTGTCCCACATCACACCAAGGAGGAGTCCAGCTAACGTTAGTGCTTTCCATGAGTCCAGGAGCGGTGACAGCAACGACCAGCATGTGAAATCTCACAGCATAGGAAGTCATGCAACCTTATCACTTTCTATGTTCCTTGTGTTACAAATCATGGAGTAACGTAGGGAGTGCTCTAATCAGATGGGACCAAGCTACCACTCAAACTGTGGCCCTCGGCCGGTTAACTTCCTGTGAGGTTGGAGTGACCCACCCACTAAAGGTTTCTTTCACTCTAACTGTAATAAAATATCAGTAATATTATTACTTTTCCCAGTAACTAGTAGTTTAACTAATTACTTTTCTAAAACAGTAATATTATTACAGTTACTAATCCAAGTAACGTTGCATTTCTCGTTACCTTAGCACCATCCTTGACGTGAGTGCGCGACTGAGCAGCAGCTGAGTGGCACTGGAGCTTATGTTGTTCAAGTAAGCTGTGAGATTGAGGGAGAGAGGCGTTCTTTCCACAGCTGTAAGTAGCTATTGCCATTATTGTGTCACAGCCTAAGATGCAAAGAACATTGTCATCTAGTGTAAATTCTGTGCGACCAGCGAAAAGCTTTCAACCGCACACATTTCCACATTTAAGTTATTGAAGCATCTGCTGAAGCAGCACAGCAACAAGAAACTTACAGAAAGAAACTCCGGCAGCTGCTGCCATTGATGCTTGGACTCGTCAGGAGAGAGTGGCGTTAATGTAGCATTTTGTAAAAATACTGAATACTGCTCTTATAAATAGGGTACATGTGCAGAAAGACAGTGGTTCAAAAGTCAGGATTTACTTGGCATTAAGAAAAGTTATCTGTTTTGTAAAAACACACTACTTGCTGCTGTTATGAATGTGATATTAATTAATAAAGTTGAGAGACTGCTTTGTTTGGGGGTGAATGGGGGTGGTAGTGAAGTGTTTCCCATATATGGTATAATTATCGTTGACCGCCACATATTGATTTTCAATTTTTTTTACTAGGCGTAGCCTATTTGAAATCATATTTGATTGAGGAGCTGTATTATGGAGCATATATTCGTGTAGCATCTCCTCTCGCTCCCTCTCTCTCTCGTGAACACCGCTGCACAATCCGGCCATCAGACCTGAAATCTAAGACCAAGGTGACGTTCTGATACTGACGTCTTATTTCTCAAATACGTGTAAAAGAGAGAAGGTGTTTATTCTATTATAGAGTCTGTCTGTGAGACAAAGAAGAACAACACTCATAACCAACCAGGGTTAACAACCTCCAACTCCTCCACCTTAACTAGTTGGAGGAGTTAGAGGGAACAGTGACGAAGGATGCTATTCATCGTCCAGCTCAATACTTTTGTTTGTCTTCAAGAACAAAAGAGCTTTGGAGTTGCAGCCATTGTCTGCACAGCAAACTCCTGTTGCTGGAGTGAACTGTCAGCTTTGTCTGCCAGGGACAAACTGCTATTATCTCAGAGTTGTGTGAAGCGTGTTGGTTTCTACCTGTGCGTGTAGGTTGCTCTCTGCTCTTGCCGGCGGCTCTTCATCATGGCCTTGTACTCGCCCACCCTCAGCCTCCGGCCCTCCACAATACAGGTCCGTTTGGGCCGGGGTTTGTACTTATAGTCAGGATAGCGCTCTAGATGCTGCCTGCTCAGCCTCGCCTGCTCTTCATAGTAAGGCTGCTTCTCCTGGTTGGACATGCCCTTCCACCTGGAGCCTAAAGACAAAGACACATTGTCCGAGTAGGACGAGGGGAAGAGGAAATAAGTGTTCTAGCAGCAAATCAGGTTAGGAAGACAGCGTGCTTAAAATGTTTATTTAGCTTTGTAAAGTTCTCAAGTCTACCAATCAAAATATACCCTTCCAAAGTGAAAGTTTGTCTTTCAATGAGGTTTTTGTTACTTTTTGTTCAAACAAAGTCCTGATGGCTGTCCATCCTGGAGCCATGATGCATGTTTGCCCCTCCTCCTACAATGGTTTGCTGTCTATCTTTATTGCCCAAGAAAGGCAGTAATATAAGCATGTCTCATTACAAGGTAAGTTAGTTCCCACTCATGATCGCAGTAGTCCGAACTTGACAAATTTGAACTCAAGAAACCATACTCTCAAGTGGTGAAAGAACATTTCTGTTCAGTTGGCAGTTACAACAGTTTTCACCTCTCCATGCGCTGCAGGTCACAGGGTCACGATTAGCTAGGCGCACTGTGATGCAGTCATGTGACTCCGGTGATACTTCACATTCAGAATGAAGCAGGAAGTGAAAGGCGGAATGGACGAGACGGAAGAAAGCCCATACTATGCTGGTTATTGTGCACACTACTCATTGTGTTGTCCCCAGCAATGTGTGTGAAATCACCCAATTCATTCTTACATTGCTAAAAACCTTTTCACAGCGACCTTTGACCTTTGACTTTGACCATTGAGTCAAAAGTGTCTCCTAGTCAGTGTCTGACCAACTGTGAAATATGGACAGTCTCCCCTCGTGTTCCCGATTTCTGGGAAAAAGAAGTTTTCCAGGAAATTACAACGTCACAGTGAGGTTTACCTTTGACCTTTTGGTTAAAAAAAATCTACACTTTGCTCATCAGTCAATTATGAGTCATTGTGGCACAAGAGAATGCAGATTTTTTACCTTTATATAAGACTAAAGCTGATTTGATTGGCTAAGCTCCTTCCCTCTGGCTGAAGGTGTAGTTAACGCATCTTCAGCTGGAGAGGCAGCATGGATTTCACTGCAATCCTCGGTAGACTGAGATGAGGGATTTAAGCAGTAAGAACTAATAAAACTGCATAGGTAGATAAGTGGTTTGTATACATGTGTATTCACGTCTGCATATGTGTGTGTGCGTGTGTGTGTGTGTGTGTCCGTGTGTGTCTGTGTGTGTCTGTGTGTGTGTGTGTCCGTGTGTGTCTATGTGTCTGTGTGTGTGTGTGTGTTTCCGTGTGTGTCTATGTGTGTGTGTGTCCGTGTGTCTGTGTGTGTCTGTGTGTCTGTGTGTGTCTATGTGTCTGTGTGTGTCTGTGTGTGTGTGTGTGTGTTTCCGTGTGTGTCTGTGTGTGTGTGTCCGTGTGTGTCTGTGTGTGTCTGTGTGTCTGTGTGTGTCTATGTGTCTGTGTGTGTCTGTGTGTGTGTGTGTGTGTTTCCGTGTGTGTCTATGTGTGTGTGTCTGGTGGCAGAAGCAGGTGGCTGTTTGTGGCCTCACATGTGCCAGGCAGCGTCTCAGAATAGAGACACAGAGTGAAACCCTCCCCTACCCAGCGCTCGCTCACCCAGGATTTTGCTGATGGAGGAGTTGTGCATGTCGGGGAAGGCCTGCAATATCCTCCTGCGCTCGTCCTTGGCCCACACCATGAAGGCATTCATGGGTCTCTTGATGTGGCCCGAGGGAGGGGGCCGGGCCTCAGCATAGCTGCCTGGGACTGAGACAGGCAGGACGCCTATAGACAACAGGGCTACAGTCAGAGGTCCACACCAAACTGCTGGCTTTTGAATATATTACTCATTCCTCCTTAAATATATCTCTTTTTGTTCTTTCGATTTACCCCTTCTGTTACCTCACCTGGTTATTAACCTTGACTCACTGAAGGAAAAGTTTCTCTTCATCCGCAAACGCCCTTCACATGCAGTTATAATTCACTTCCCCCACCCACATTCTTCACCTGAGGTCTGCACCACAAAGTTCTGTTCCGTTTTTTCATTAAAGCTACCACACTTGTAGAAGATGATGATGTTTGGATACAGTTGAATCTGGAGGTGGTGGTGGAAGTCATTTTTAGATATTTAAATGCCAATCTGAGGGGGCAACGATAAGATATGTTTTGGTGATAACTAGTATTGTGTGTACTGCCTTTCAAATAGGAAGCTGCTATTAATCAAAGCTGAGAGCATCATTGAAGCTAAGGCCAGCATTATTAAACAGGCTCCTCCAGGGACTCCTACCTTCAGAGTCACTGCTAAGGTGGTCCTCAGTGGACGGCAGGCCTTGTCTGTCTTCAACCCGCTCGGAGTGAGAAATGATCTCACTGCAGGGAGAATCTTTATAGTCCTGAAGACAGAAAGGACACCGACAGATGAAGTCAGATGTGCAGTAAACGTGCAGACATCACACATATATTCACACTTGAGCACAAAGAGACAATTTGAATGTTGGCTGCAGTAAAAAGATGACCCAGTGATCGAGGGTTGTGTTCAAGGCACGCAAGTGTTACACAGAGCGCTATTTAAGGTAGAGAAACTACATGTTCACCATATCAGCTGCTGTTTAAATGCAGAGCTGTAAATGCAAAGAAAGGAAATGACAACGCTATGGAGATCGGAAGAATGTGTTTATTGTTTGAGGGAGGACAGGTGAAGGAGAAAAGGCAGAGTTGGGAATGTAACAACTCTGAATTTGCAAAACTATCACACTATCAGCGTATGTAACATCTATTCTGGTGCTGTAAAACATTATTTGTCCCCATGCAGTGGAGTGTGATACCAAAATAGGTCAGTCATCTGTGCCGGCATTAAAGCAGCAGCAGCAGAGGCGAGATGGAGCAGGGTAATGGAGGAGGGAAGGAGTACAGTGTTACTGTGGACAAAGAGAGAGGGCAGGTGTCTCAGTGAATGCCACATTGAGGCTTTTGTGGGATTGTGAGCCTGCAGCAGCTGTTGCTCCAGGATGAGGCTGAGACCAAAGCTCCAGCCACCTCACAGACGCAAATTCCACATGTTAGACCTTAAGTCGTGTGTAATGTACAATAACAACTACATTTCTACTTTTTCACTGCAGCACAGTACTGTACTCATTCTCTCTGTACTGGGTCAGGGGTTCTGAATGTGCAGTCTCCCTTTCTGTTAATAATAATAAAAACAACAGAGACACAACTGCTTTCTTTTCCAAACAGCAGCGGTAACAGTAATGTGCTTCTGCGCATGGTTGCTCTATAGCAACGTATCCTTCAGTTGGGTAAATCCTCAGTAGATGCATGATTCCCTGCAACCCTAAACCTGACTGTGATCACCGATACGACCCCCGAGATGTAAGTCGAAGAAAGAGAGACAGTGTTCCCTCACATCTAATTTGTTCACTAAGAGGTGTGTGTGTGTATATGTGTGTATATATTTATATTTATTTATTTAGTATTTTTTGCATTACAAGTAGGACTTTCAGACATAAATATGTGGCTTCACTCATTGTTACAGTAATTTCTTTCTCTAATTCAGACACAGTTAAACTTATACCATGGCCCCTGAGGCCCCTTAATTGTGACTGGCTGCTGACTGTGTGGATAACTTTAAAGCAGCTATAATCACTATTTTTATAATGACCATGTAATCACACTGTGACAGTGTGTTGTGTGTTGGGTCGTGAGTTGTAAGCTGAATCTGCAGCTTCTCGCAGAGCTAGACCAAACACAGAGCTAACAGAGAGAGAATACTGGACTCACATTCATCTGTCGACAAAAACGCGACTCCACATGAGCCATCATGTTGCTCTGCAACTGCTGGAGGTGAAAAAAAAGCTGCTAACTGATCACAAGCTCACCATGTCAACTTAAAAGGTGATGTCAGTGTTGAAATGAAACACAATGAAAGTTAGCTATGTTTGCTATGGCGCTAAGGGACAGCAGCAGAGGAAAGGATACAGCCTCAGGTAAGATGTGAGTGGGGAAAACGTGACATGTGATTGCCCCCTGTGCAGAAATCTTACTACTGTTATTGTAAGATATGGGACTGGCACGGGACAGGAGTATATTTGTGGGAGTGGGACAGGACAGGAGTATATTTGTGGGAGCAGGACAGGGCAGGAGTATATTTGTGGGAGGGGCAGGACAGGACAGGAGTATATTTGTGGGAGCGGGACAGGACAGGACAGGAGTATTTGTGGGAGCGGGACAGGACAGGACAGGAGTATTTGTGGGAGCAGGACAGGACAGGAGTATATTTGTGGGAGCAGGACAGGACAGGAGTATATTTGTGGGAGCGGGACAGGACAGGACAGGAGTATTTTTGTGGGAGCGGGACAGGACAGGACAGGAGTATTTTGTGGGAGCGGGACAGGACAGGAGTATTTTTGTGGGAGCGGGACAGGACAGGACAGGAGTATTTTGTGGGAGCAGGACAGGAGTGGGAGCAGGACAGGACAGGACAGGAGTATTTTTGTGGGAGCGGGACAGGACAGGTCAGGAGTATTTTTGTGGGAGCGGGACAGGACAGGAGTATTTTTGTGGGAGCGGGACAGGACAGGAGTATATTTGTGGGAGTGGGACAGGACAGGAGTATATTTGTGGGAGTGGGACAGGACAGGAGTATATTTGTGGGAGCGGGACAGGACAGGAGTATATTTGTGGGAGCGGGACAGGACAGGAGTATATTTGTGGGAGCGGGACAGGACAGGACAGGAGTATTTTTGTGGGAGCGGGACAGGACAGGACAGGACAGGAGTATTTTTGTGGGAGCGGGACAGGACAGGACAGGAGTATTTTTGTGGGAGCAGGACAGGACAGGAGTATATTTGTGGGAGCGGGACAGGACAGGACAGGAGTATTTTTGTGGGAGCGGGACAGGACAGGACAGGAGTATTTTTGTGGGAGCGGGACAGGACAGGACAGGAGTATTTTTGTAGGAGCGGGACAGGACAGGAGTATTTTTGTGGGAGCGGGACAGGATAGGACAGGAGTATTTTTGTGGGAGCGGGTCGGGACAAAGTGAAAATCCACTCCCGTGTCAACCTTTAGTGTGGACTGTGTGGTTTGGACATTAGCTCACCATCTTTCCACCACCATCTCTCTCTCTGTCTCTGTCCCTGTGCCTCTCTCGCCCTCCGGTGCTGTGGATCCTCAGGAGCTGCTGGGCATCATGAATGGCCTGGGTGACCACATCACCATCTCCAAGGAAACCTAAAGACAAACACAGGACGTGAAAGAGCAGAAGAACGAAAATGAAGAACAGGGTGGTGATGATGATGATGATGAAGACAGAGGAGGTAAAGCATTAGAGGCAGCTCTCCTCCTCGAAACACATCCCAGCTATCAACACTAGCTAAGTTTCAAGGTGGAAAGTTCAAGAATGGAATACCTCAGAAAAAAAAACAATTCATTCATGTATTTTCACAGCAAGTATAACTCCAAAACATTGCATAGTGATGCTGGTGGTAAGAAACTCCACAGGTCCCTTTGGTGGTCCGAGAGGAGGCGCCCTGTTACCATGACAAACCAGAAACCCAAATGTGATTCAAGCATCTTAGAGGAGCTGTGAGGATACAACACTTATTTCCCCTTGCGGGATCTCAGATTCACACTTTCTTTCACAGTACTTTAACTGTCAGCATATCTTACTGAGGGCAGATCGTGACGGGCTGTGGGATACTTCTCTGTGGAGGTCTCTGGGCCTGTAGGCCCCCTGCAGAGCCAGCGATCCCATGTCCAGGCTCTGCGGACTGGGGGTTTTCCCTAGCTCCAGTCCCTTTGGCTTGGAGGTCAGGTTCAAGGGCTGACTGGCTTCCTAAACACACAGTGAGAGCAGATGAGCAGGGGTGGGGCCACTCACACACATTCAGGCTTAACCGCAGAGGGCGGGGGTGTGCATGTATTCCAGTTATGCATGGCAGATTTGGCATGTCGGAGCGCATCTGTCACACCTGTGTAGCTTCTCTGCTCTTTTGTTTTCATGTTCACCTCATCCTGTCTGCTCTTTGTGTATTTAAGCTGTGTTGGTCTATCGCTACTTGGGAACCAGCCGTGCAAATACAGTTCACACTACATACACACACATGCAGCAACTCACACACACACCTATAGCACACACATTAAACTTTGAACAGAGGGTGTGGTGTGTTCAATAAGCTTTTTCAGCCTCCCAAGAACCAGAACAATACATTATCTGTTTAATCTGGAGGCTTGAATCCCACACACACACAGACATACAGTATCTAGTATATATACAGACACACTGTCAGTAAACAAACAAAGTGCCATAATTCAGTGTTGTCACATTTGGAAGATATAATGTAGGTGTATGTAAAGGACTTGGGACATTTAGGAAGTGGCAGACACACAATAAAAAATGTATACACACAATGTACCTGTCGGAAGGACCCACTGCTCCTCTTGACAGGGGTGGGGTGATGGTTCTGCAGCAGCTGCATGGGATAGTCCACGGCTGTGAAAGGTGTAACATGCTCGGTATGAATCGACTCATCATTACTGAATCATCAGACTTTATTCAAACGTACTGAATGAGACTCAGACTCACAGCAGTAGCATCAAAAAGAGTGTGGTTTAAAGTCTGCTGTGTGGCGACTATTAGAGTTCGCTAGCTTGCAGGATGTGACTTTGATTGCAGCTCACATTTGACTAAAGGAAGCCTGCCTTTTGTTTCTTACAGCATACTCATAGTTTCTTTAGCATTTTTACACATGCACATATTTAGTTACCTTTGCTAGTTTAGTAATTTTGTGTGCATTTGCTTTTGGTATGCGTGCTGAGGCAAGTGCCTGTCTCGTCAGGCATCAGTACAAGATGGCTTTTTATTGAGAACATGAACAAATAAGGCTTCATCACAAGGCCTCTGCCTCAGACAACAATCCTCCAATTCAGACTGCGTTTGGTCACCTATGTATAAAAACTGCCCCAATAACAACAAAACGTTGAGAACAAAGTTCAACTTCCTGTGTTCAACATGAACACCAAACTGCACGATGGAAAAACACATGATCCACGCATCAAAGTATATCTCAATCGCAGGAATTTGTTTTTTGAGTAAATCTAAACTTTACCTCTTTTACCTGAGGAGGAAATGGAAATGAAATAGTTTCTTGTTTTGCTTAACCTCTTCAAGTTCCCTGTGTTCTTCCTTTAACAGAATGGTTTTAATGACTCTGTGTCACAGAAGTCTGGTCCTTCAAAGCGAAGCTGCCCAGGAGAGACCTTTGAGTACCGAAAGTCTTCTTTGACCACAGATCTCAGAGATACTGCTGTGGCTTTTATCTTTCTATTATGGTTATGAACAGTACGTTGGAGTTGGAATTTCAAACAAATTGTAACCAATTTCCATTATCATCCATAAAATGAGCAACAGCCCAAATCCCTTTGCAACATGTATCTGTTGTTCCACGCTGGCATATAATGTGCTGTGAAGTTATGTTTATATATTCATTTCCAACCGAGGAGGCATTCACACCCCTGTCTTCATCATTCTGAACCATGTCCTCCTTCCTCACATGCTGAAATTTGTTCTTCATATGAATGTAAAACTGACATTGTTTGCTGATATGTGTGAGGAGAAGGCCAGGGCCAGTGAATGAGTCGTGATAAACTTTCCATTTTGGATAATAAACTCTCCCAAAGAGAATGACATCCTTCTGCAGCCACATTAGTCTTATTCAATATTCATATTGTCAGTTTTATCCTTGGACATAACTATCCCCAAATATTTAATTATTCTTTATATTATATAATGTCTGCAGGGGAAGATCATGTAAAGTTCACATGTATCTAAATTCAGTTATAGGCCTGAAGCCTTTGTACATTGGTTAATAGAGGCTAGGGGAATTTGATTTTCATTTTTTTTAATAAGGTTGTATCATCTGCCAACTGACATAGTATTATCTTCCCAACACATTTAAACCATCAATGTTTTTGATCAGAAAAGATAACATCTCTGCAGCCATCATAAAAAATAATGGTGAGCTGCCACATCCTTGACATTTCCCTCTTAATCTCTTTTCTTGAACATGTGCCATGTCCTAGAGCTAGTGTCATAAATCTCTCTCCAAATCCAGAGTAGCAAGCTTTCAGTATGAAAGCATGTTCAACAAATTCAAATGCTTTAAATATATATATATTATAGCTATAATCACCTTCCTTTCAAAAATCCTGATTGTGTCTCACTAATTACGGTCGAAATACCTTTCTGGTCTGAAAAAGTTTGAGAAAGACAGCTCTGATGGCCGATAACGAGTTTGGTTGTATTAATGAACATTGAACATTTAAATTAGATTGTTTTATTTTTTTTCAGAATATATTATGAGGTTTAGTTCTTCTTTTGACCGTATCAGTTAATTAACCACCAAACAAACAAGATTCTTCATCATTGATGCAAAAGAACCTACAAATCCAAGTCAGTGCCACAATGCACTTTAGCATGAGACTTGGATTGAAGATAAATGTCAACAAATGACGTGTTCCCCTCCACTCGAACTGGATTTCTTAAAACACTGCCAGCCATGAAGCCCATTCTGAAACAGGGAATGTTTTATCATAGCACTACAGATACCGTTCATAGAATTCACTGCTGAGCCAAAACAGGATGTGATTTGGTTTGGAAGTTCCCCAAAATCCATTGTCCAGTCAATGGTGATACAAAAGAGCAAACAAATAGAAGACACCACCCAAATGAAACGAAACATAGCTTCCAACTCCACCATATTGTCAAAAGAAAAGCTGAATGTCTGGCTAAAGCTGACCTCCAACACATCCCAGCAGTCCTTCTACCATTTTCCATTCATCTGTAAAAACATTCTGAAGCACTCTCTCTCTCACACACACACACAGACACACATTTGTTGAAATAAAGAAAGCAAATGAATGGTTATCCATAAATTCCACCTCCTGTGTTTTAAAGACTGGCCTTGTCTCTTTTAGGTTTGAAAAGATAGAGAAGACAAGGTCAGCCTCAAACACAGCTTTTAAGACTTGTGAAAGCAAGACTGCACAATGCTGTGGCTTTCAAAGCTGTGCCCTCTATAGCCTGCTAACTGTACAAGCATTGGTGTGAGAAAGGTACTATCAAGCATATTATTCAGCTCAAGTCTACGTTTGTGTCTCACTGTCGCTTTTCCGTTTTCTATAAAGTAGGCCTTGAGTTGAAGTGCATAAGAAGATGTTCCAACATGGACGGCATCTCATGGAGCTCATGCAAGCACCCAGTCATTGTTACATAGGCTGAGTCTTTCTTCCCAACAGGGAATGTGAGAACTGAAGAGCACCAAAGGCCTGCTGGAGCGAAACCCTGGAGGATTATCAAAAGACCCCATAGATAACCTAAGCCCATCAGAATCACTTCATGTGCATGCAGATGCACAGTAGAGAAGTGGACTATGCTGTACTGTTCTGGGTTTAGACATTTCTCTGGAGGTTTTGATATTTTCTAAACTAAAATAAGGTGTGTTTAGATAGACGACAGCCCTGCCTGAAAAAAGCAGCCCCCTCATTCATTTTAATGAGGCCACTGCATTGGCACAGAGGGCTCCAGCACAAAAACACAAGGCTGTCCGACAAAAGAGCTGAACCAATGCTACACTAGCTACCACTTCCTGGTAGACTACTTTGTGATGTAAAGGGAGTAATTCTACTATTTACTTGCGTAGGTTACGATGAAAGATGAAATAACTGTTGCTGTGATAACTTTCCAGAGTGCTGTGTTTGTGCCTTACAAATCTATCAAGGATCTACAACTCACCCCGGCCTTCCTTGGTCGTATTCGATCAGGGTCAGGGTTATTTTGTAGCTCAACAAATCCACTGTACGTCCTGTACCCTGATACTAATGTTAGCTGACTGGACCACTGAATTCCAGTACTAACAAACGAGCTGAAGAGAATAGTGGCAGAAGAAAATCGCTTTGTACTTCTCTTAACGGCTTTTTATTTCAAACCAAAAGGCACAATTCAAAATGTGTAGAGACCACTGCATATTGAGGATTGTATATGTTGTGTGTAATATTTATTTAATAAATTTAAATTCAAATTGACATTTATTTGATTTAATTATCTTTTTTTTTATACATGGTTGCCATTCCAACAATGGCTTTCTGGTTTAATGGGAGCCAGCCCGGGGCTAGATGACTGACCTGGTTTGCAGGGGATTGGTTGCAGTGGCAAGGACATCTGGGGGTCAGAGGTGACCTGGAGGGGCTGAGTGTTGGGGTGGAAAGCCGGGATCATCACGTAGGGCATGTTCACCTGCTGGGACAAAAGCAGTACAAACACACCTTACAAAGAAGTTCTTGCCTCATTTGTCTGAAACATAGATTTCTGCAGTGAGAACTCTGCTCCAATGCCATCGCTGCTGGCTGTGGTGTGTGAAGACGTAAAGGTCTTGAGAGGCGCTGACCTGGATCTGCTGCTGAAGCAGGTTGATCTTGTGCTGCTGCTGGATCAGCTGCTGCTGCTGTTTGGCGATCTGAGACAAAAAACATGCATGTATGTATGAGGAAACTGAAAAACGTTCATAAAGAATGAAACTGATCTCGCTCTCCATTTCGACCACAAGAACCTTTTTAGAAAGTCCTTTGCCTGCTCTTCAACTACAGGAACCAACAAAAGGTGACAGCTTCTAAAGTGGCTTCAATGAAAGTTGTGTCAAATTATTGAGTTTCTATTTAGTTAAATAAAGGTCTTTATTGGTTTCTACTGTATAGTTGTGTATAGTTATAGTTGTGTATAGTTAAAAAATATAAAAGTACTTAACAGAGCCTCTGTCTCGGCTTTCTGTTGTCTCGTCGTGTGCAATAGCAACATCTCAAACAAAGATTTGCTTTTAATTCCATCTGTCTGATTTGCCTAATGCTCATGCAACTTCATATGCAGCCAAAACACAAACACGCATGCACAGAAGGGACTTTTGGTTCCGGATTTGGTTCCTGGGATTCCTTTGTTTCCAGGTCTGTTTGGTCAGAAAGGCTCACTATAGTTTTCATCACCCCTGTCTGTTCAGTACAGTTTGAATAGACAGTGTGGAGACAGAAACGAGCTGTTTGTACAGTTTGACGAAAATGAAGGTAGATGCATGGATTCTGAGGTTCAGTGAGCGTGGTACCTGCTCCTGCTGTTGTCGAGCCAACTCCATCTGCTGCTGCTGTTTCTCCAGCAGCAGGGCGGCCATGTTTCTCTGCTCAGAGTGGGCTCCCAGCAGCTGCTCCCTCAGACCACTCAGCTGGTTGATCATCATCAGTAACTGGAGCTCCTTCTCTGCCACAGACTCGGGGGTACCTGGGGGGAAAGAGGGTCAGCTTTCTTTAAAAACAGCTTGAGCACTTATGAAATATAATATATTCACACTTGATTCTTATTGTGATTATGTTATTGCACATGTTAATACTTGTGTATATTCTATCAATTTCATATTTGTTTGATATCTTTATATTTTTATAGGTTTATGTGTATTGTTGTTGAGCAGCTAGTCGCCAAAAACAAATTCCTTGTATGTGTGAAAATAACTACGCAATAAATCTGATTTTGATTCTGATTCTCGTGAATGACAGACTGTAGGAGCTTTCACACTGCCTTCTTTTCTGGGATTATTATGCCAATATGCCGGCTCGCTGCGCTGTATGAAAGGTACAGAGACAAAAAGGGGCCTCCTGGTGATAATACATCTGGCTACGTCTTTCTCTCTCTCCAGATGTGTCTTTTTGTTTGTTTCTAACTTACTCTGATTTTACAAGGAATACAAGATGAAACCAACAATTGCGAGAGCAAAATGATCCAAAAGTGGTGTACCCAGTGACTGCAGCAGCCAGCTACTGCTGTGTGTAACAAGTGTTATATAACATGTTTCAATGAATCCAGCAGATGATGGTCATGGCAAATGAAAAAGGTAAAGCAAGTATTTGCACAGTCTAACAATAATGTGAATATAAACGGTATAAAGTTGTTGGTAGTGTCTGAAAGCTGACCTTTCAGTTGTCCTGCCCCCACGGTGCTTTTATCCAGAAGTTTCTCCTTCCAGTCAGCATTCAGCAGCTTCTCAATGGTAGGCATTACTGTTAACAGGACACAACAGGTACTCAGCAGAACCATACTGGGCTGCACTAGATGGTGTGAAAAAATATTTTCTGTCAACTAAAATCCATCTGACACCAAACAACTCTCTCAGCCTCTCCTCTGCCTTCCTAATGGCTTTGATTGAAGAGGACATTTGAGGTGCCGAAGGGCAGAGGTTGTTTGTGCGTCTGGGAGAAGTTTTGAGTGTTTGAGTGGATCAATATTTGGACAGAGAACAATCCAAGGTCAGCTAGTGGAGAGAACTTAAGAAAAATTTAAGGCGAAGAGTGCAGGCTGGTGAAAGACTGGAGGGCAGGGAGCGACTCAGCGAGCAGCCTTTTACTTCGCATGTAAGGGATTGAACAAAATCACCCGAACACATTCAGGAACCAAAACAACACCCTCGCTTCACTAGACAAACCGTCACTTCTGCGCATCGATTTTCAGCAGACTGCATTGTTTAACTCTGAATAGCAGCAGAATGCAGTGCACTTAAACACATAAGATATGGAGTCGTCAAGTGTTGAAAGACTCCCACAGAAGGAAATTAAAAAGTTTTTTCCTTCAGAGGTTTGGCCACTGTATAGTGTTATAGTGTAGAAACAACGTCCAGAACTACAACAATCAGTCTACCGCATAGCTAACGGTCGGCTCTAGCCTGATTGATAGGTCACCATGGTAACGACTTGTCAATCATAGATAATCCCGCCCTGAAACATACTCTGCTTTGTTTTAAAATAAATGGGACCATAATTTCATAAATGAACATCATTTTGTATTGAAGAAGACTTGAAACTAGCGACTGAGACCATAAACTCATCAGGAAAGTGTTTACTGGGGTAATTTTCAGCTGAGAAGTAGGGTCATTTTCACATTATTTCTAATGGAGCCGGACTTCTTTTTGCAACCAGAAGAGTCGCCCCCAGCTGGATTTTCAATAGAATGCAGGTTTCAGCTTCATATTGTAGACCGGAAACTTCCCGCTTGGTCTACATGCTAGCCATCTTAGTTTAGCATATTAGAATGCTTACATTTGCTAATTAGCGCTAAACACAAAGCTGCAAAGTATTGGGCAACCTGATGATGGCGCTACAGGAAAGTCAGGTCAGCAAAGTAACGTATCCTCTAGGGATCGTGAATATCTGTATTATATTCCACAGCAATCAAACCAATAGCTTCCATGATATTTTATTCCAAACGAAGAATGTCAACCTGCTATGGGACCATGTGACTGAATGACATGACCAACCGTAGAGCCACACCGCTACTGTGTCTCAAACTATTCTAATGATTATGGCCATAATTATCCTTAGTATTTAAACATTTATCACAATTAGGAATCATAAATGAACAGGCCAGATGAAAGCAGACTTAGTTCACTGATGGATGTTTCAGCGCTGTGGAAACACTAGTAAGACTGTTGAGATTATTTTGTCAAAATATTCAAAACACTTCAACAAATTAACAGCGAGGTAGATTAGGCCCAATAAAAGGTAATGATCACGGAAGCTACACCTTCAGCTCCACAAAGGGGAGATGTTCGGTTTTCAGTCGCTAAAGGATCAATTTAGGACGGCTGAGTATGATTACTTGGCAGCTCTACCAACACGAGTCCTGACACTGCAGAGCAGAAGAAAGTTTTTGATCCACAGACCTTCCTTGAAGTTGGACTGTCCTTGTGGTCTGTCATGGATCCTGGCTTCCTTCTGTCCCACGGGGCTTTGTCTGTGAGGCAGTTCCTTACCTGGAGAGCCCTCCTGTCAGGGCACAGACAGAGACCATCAACTGACAAAGCCTCAGAGCAGGAAAAGGAAACATTCGTGACATCAGTGACATTTCCTACATTTCCCACAATGCCTGTCCATAACCCTTTTGCTCTGTCATGCCTTTTGTAGTATCCTTACCGAAGGGGAGCAGGAGAGCGGTGGGGTCAATTGGCGGGTCTCCAGTGGATGATTACCTGACCAATCACGTGAAGGAGACGCCTTAGAAGCTTCGGCATTGGTAATGACGCCCCCTCTTCCGCCGGACTCCTCCTGTTTTACTTTGACACCAACGCTCGCCATGCTGACATCCCCGCTGGAGAAGAGGTGCAGCGCTGGAGGGCTGGGCTCAACCATTCTGTTGAAAGACAAACACAGCACACAAAACTAGGTGTCATTTGGGTGTGGTGAGTTTTGGCCACGTGCCAGTTCTGATTGGGTGGATGACATCATTACAGCAAAGAGCAAAGAACAAGATCAGCAGGAAAGCACTGAGAACATCCACTTTACATCAGGTAAACCTCAGCAGCACGTTTCATTGAATCATCTACCATACTGACAAAATGAGAATGCAGCCCCTCTCCTGTATGTGCTCGTGTCAACGTCTGCGTGAAAAGAGGACCTCTGCAAGACCAACAGGTTAAAAGAACTATCATGGTGCTGTGGGTGAGACGGTAACCAGACTGAGGGGCTACAGCCAGATGGCTCCGCGAGGCTTTGACCTACATGCTAAAGTTAGGTAGAGTGCTAGAGTCAGGTAGGCTCACCACTCTGCACCTAGTTAAGGTGCAGAGTGGTGAGCCTACCTGACTCTATTACTGTAGTGATGGATTTAGTGCTATGGAGATGAACATTATGCTGAATTTAAGAACTACACAGAGTCTGAACCAACAGCAAATTAAGCAGATCACACAATAGTGAGCTTTCTTACGAAAATATGATCAGACATATAAAGAAGAAATGAATTTCAAAAAAACAAAGATTTATCTTTAATATAAGCTGGTTTCAAAGAAATTGTAATTTGTAATAGAAATTTGTAATTAAATTTCAATTTTCTGTAATTTTTAATCATCCCAGTTCCAAAATTACTGCTGACTCCACGGTCTTCTCCCCACAGTGCTCATGATCAGTCCTCTTCACTCTCAGGGTCTCTCAGAGTCTGTTTCTGTACGGCTGTCCTGGGTCACTGCTGAAGTCAAGGTCAAGGGTCAGGTGCTGGTTGTGTTACCTCTACCTGAAGTCCCAGCCAGGCTTATTGTCTAAGTGTGTGTGAGACGGTGAATAATAGGAGGTTACAGGGGAGGGAGACAGACAATGCCTCAGTGAGGAAGAAAGGACAGGTTGAGTGAGAGAGGTTTGAACGGCAGTGAACTTCAGGCTTGTGTGTATGTGTGTGTGTGTGTGTGTGTGTGTGTGTGTGTGTGTGTGTGTGTGTGTGTGTTATTTCCTAGCTCTGCTGCAGGAGGAAAGAAAAACACAGCAGACAGCAGAACAAAACAAACAGAACACACAAGGGCAAAAAGTGCACATATATATTAAGAGGCAGAAAAAAGCCATTGTTGGAACCAGGGAACAAAGGAAGCCAGGACAATGGGGGAGAGACTGACAAAAGCCGCCGGCCGCAGGAAACGGGCCGGATAACAATGCCAGCGGAATGTGCCGACCAACTCGGGAACACGGCAAAAAAATGTGGAGCGCCACCGTTCTGCGGAAAGCATAGTAATGATTAGAGCCCAACCCCACTTCACCCAGCTCCCCCAGCATGCACACTGTGATTCTGAACAAAGCCACCTGTCTGCCAGAGTCCAAGACTCCAGACCTCAGTGATGAATGTGCATGTGTGTGTAGAGCTGCACTAATAAAATACTGTTAGCACAAACAGAAAAGGCCACCTGATCTTACATCACGCGACGTCTGCGGTCGCGTGGTCACTGTTGGAAATCTTCTCCACACAGGAAGTGGTGAGTCAGTGGATCATGTAGTGATCATGTAGAAATGTGGACTGTACGAAGCACTGACAGCTCAACACAGTCAACCTGTTGATCTCCTGTGCTGACCCAGTCTGAGGATTTAAGGTGCAGTAAATAGTTCTATTATGTCTTTGTTTCTCACCAAACCACATGTAGCATGTTGAGGCCCAACAATTATCCTTTAGTAATGAATGTTCAGTGCATTTCCTTCCTCAGATGCAAATCTGCATTGTTTACACATGTTTGCTAGCTAGCCCTGTTCTTCCTGTCCAGAAACCAGGTGTGCACCTTTACCAATAAGGCCAGCCACATTAACTGAGCAGCTTGGTCCTGCAACCAGTAACATGAAAAGGCATAATACTGTTGTTACTGCATTTCAACACAAAGCCACCTGTCTGCCAGAGCTCTAAACCTGCGTGAATGTGTGTGTGTGTGTGTGTGCGTGCGTGTGTATGTATTCAAACTGAATCTTAATAAAACCCTTTCACACAGCTGATGGTAAGTAAGAAGCCCTGCAGCACATTAAACACAGCTGCACGTGGGGGAACAACAACACTAAAACTCATTTGATACCACCTGCTTGACTACTGTTGACTTTGAACATAATATCACACTCGTGTGTGTGTGTGTGTGTGTGTATTTGGGCCAAATTCTTGTTTTCAGGTGACACTGAAATCAAATTGAAACCAATTGAAAGAATCTGTTTGTGCACTAATGTTGTGTCCCATGCTTTGAGTGCTGTTTCAAACATGCTGATATCCGGCAGCCGTTGGAATAAAACACACATCTGTATCGGCCTAATCTTGTCTCACTGCTATTTTCAGGTGTGGTGTGTGGTTTTGTGAAGTGTTACGAAGGAATGAGGATGGAGCGATGACGACGGAAAGCTGGGAAACTGTTTAGCCAACACTGCAGCAGCCGCTGTTGGTATTCGTGAGGGGTTGATTTTATGATGGGGGAAGGTGAGGTGGGGGTGGGGCTGGCAGCAGCAACACACTGAGTTTTATCCCACGCTAGAAGTTATTCCCTCCACGTTCCACAGAGACTGGACTGTAGAGCTGCCACAGGTGGCTTTCATGCGCCTCTGCACAGACTGAGTGTGTGTGTGTGTCTGTGTGTGTGTGTGTCACCCAGTGCAGAGGTATGCACTGAATCTCAGTGACAGAGCTGTTGACAGCGAGGAATGTGTCAAGGTGCGTGTGATTTACAAGCTCGAACAATGCCTTCAGCGTCTTAGCAGAAACAATGCAGAGCAGTCAACATCACGGCTTCAGTATCATCTACTTAAACATACATTTAGTCTGTGTGCACTGACTGCACCCACATGGAACCTAGCATGTACGTGGTGTGTGTGTGTGTGTGAGTTGCATGATATGAATAGTATTGCCTTCTTACGAGGTTATCTGATTGAGGCCTGTTTTCAGACCACCTATCGTGTTGTTCACCACATGCCGCTGAGAAATCACAATAAAACAGACCTCAGAGCAGCTGTGAGCTAAACAAAATGACCACAAAACTACTAGTAGACCATTCTGCAACTGTTTTGTCACATTAACAAAATATAGAATTTAGTAAATGACTGACTGCAGTGGTGAGTTCAGCTCAAACAGGGAATAAACCACACAAGCAGGTGAGACTATTCCAATGCAAATCAGTTAGTTTGAGTCACTGAGCATCATTGAGCATGTTTTATAAAAAAAAAACATTGGACCTGTTCCTATGAAATTATGAAAGTATATATAAATATATGAAAGTCGACTGACTAACAATGGATCAGACGACTACGTGTAATGTGAAAGGTGTCGCTCGCAGTGACAAACACACAGAGACTCATCTCTCCTTTCAGTATCTTTAGCTTGTTGCTTTTCAGACCCAGAAACTTTGCTATTAGTAAAGAAAGTGGAAAGTAAAAAGGTTGGCGTGGACCAAAACAGCTAGAAGGAGGAAATATTAGTCTTACATTCATCTGGTCGACTCAACACAACTCCAAATGAGTGACATTTAGATTCTAACATACTATCCTGCGATGGAAACAGATTTTCTCCTCCTGTGGAATGTGTAACAGCAGTCACTCAACTACAAAAAACAAAAACGATGACTACAACATCTGATGGAGGTCTGAGGACGAGTGATTGATAGAGATCCTTTCTCACACTGAAACGTCTTTGGCACATCAGCCAATAAGACTCTGCTGTGAAAAAACTTTGGAGTTATTGTTTAACTTTTAAATCTGGAAAATAGAACCTGAAACTATACGCATGGCTAGACACCACAGGAGCCTTTAAAGGGGCCCGTTGTGGCTGTGGTACTAGCTGAGATGGACAGAACTCCACTTGTCCTGAATGCGGCTGTCACAGCAGAGAGGGAGGCGATGGAGAATGACAGTGGACGTAGGGAACTGCACTCAGATAAAAATCAGCTCCTCTCCTTCGAGCGCCAAGAACACTGAAACCTTACACTTCCCACGACACAAGAATCACTTCAGTTACCCAACAAGCTGTAACACGTAAAAGCTAACATCTCCCCCGGGGCAATGGCAATGCACATCCCTTCTGTTGTTCTCCTTTTCTTTACTTCCTTTGTTTCCTTATTCTTTCTCTCAGAGATTTTACTCTTCCTCCTCCCGACAGGAACAGCTTGTTGAGTTTATATCATCCTTGTCGGCTTCCAACTAGTGCCTGAGGCAGAGTAGCAGAGTGCAGCAAAGACAAAGTGCCAGAAGCCAGTCTCAGCAGGATAAAGCAACATCTAAAGAGGTTTATGCAGTGATAAACACATGAAGACATTCTCACTGTCAACCTGCGACTGACAGCTGTAATGCAGAAGGTTCCCTGCAGGAACATATCAAAGATAAAAACAGTCCTCAGTCAGCTAGCTCAGCATGCAAAAAGAGTAGAAGTTAATGTAAAATATCTCCCACCCAGATCTTTGCATCTGTGCACAGCCAGCTCTCTCAAACTCTGCCCCCGAGTGAGGAACATTTGCATTGATATTTCTCACATTGTGTCAGAGCTCTTATAGTAAGTTTCTAACCTGCTGTGCAGTCGTGTTAAGACAAGTGTCAACCGATGCATAAACAAATGTTTGGGAAATGTTTCACAGTTAGCAATATTTGCTTAGGAATGATAAAGCAATCCGGCGTTCCATGCCAGCTAGTACCTGTCTGCTCACAGGGCCTGGCTCGGGCTGATCACAGCAAAAGCCTCCAGCAAACTCAACCATCACTGACAGACACTGCACCTCACATCTTTTGAACATATTATATGGGTTCTCTTGTCCTTTAATTGAAAATCTGTGAGGTATGTCGCTTTGCTTGGATTCAGATTGTCAGAAAAAAGGTAAGCAATACAGCTTTTCATGAAATCCAGAGCTTTGTGCAGAACTGCTGCCAAGACATGTCAGGTAAGGAAAAATGTAAAAAAGGAAACTTGAAGTAAACAGTTTCAACATCTAAAAAAACACATTTAGAAGAACATATTTAGCACTCTCATCCCTCCAGCTGCACTGTAGTTTGCTGTACTGACCTGGTAGGGAGAGGTGGACGGGAGGAGATCCAACAGCACTCCCTGACTGGAACAGAGCTGCTGACACAAGCCATAGTGACTGGCCTTCTCTCACCAGTAACGCCTGTCTTTTCTACTCTTCTGGTACCTCTGACCCAGCCAACCCCTCCCACCCCCCTTCTCCTACCCCCAGCTCTCCTCTCAAGAGGGGAAGTACAAAGAGCCTCTTCAAATCCCACCGTACAGGGGCTTCATTTGCATAATTAGCATGTTGTTGCAGGTAACCGTCACTGCAGCCCCGACATGTGTGATACTGATCGAAACCCACCAACAGGTGTGATAACAGCATTCATTTATCAGCTTCAGATACTTTCTAGCAAATTGGCTTTATCCTCTGTTATGATTTCCTGGACCTGTGTCTGAAACTGGGTAAAGCAAGAGAGAGCCGCAGCGCAAAGGCCAGGAAATACGGCAACATGTAGACAACAGAGTGAGAGAGAGCAGGCTCCATGTTACTGTTGTTTAATACCATTTTAACTGAGAAGTGAAAAACATGTCACATTTTAATCCAGCTGTAGTCACAGTACCTGGAGTATTACATCACTTATGTTTTACTTAAGTTGCACTAGCTGCCCCTGTGGCAGTATGACTATGACTGGGTACACACAGCTGCAGGAGATGTTTCATTAAGTCTGAAACACATTATCTTTGTAAGAATATGTCCAATGATTACATTTTGCTGGATCACTCCTGTCATTTGTGAAGCTCTATCTGCCGTCCGCCATATTATCAACACTATATGTGACTGATGTATAGCACCAGGTTACTTGAGTTAGTTGGGTGTGTTTGAGGTGTGTTACATGGAGCAAGGCAATTATTTTCCCATGGAAAGATCCCTAGCAATGCAAACTGCTCTGGTTTGGCACCAGGTTTAGCTGTACAATGTTCCACCAAAGTCAACTTTGAACCTAAATGCGCTGACCACCAAGTTGCGGATCCAGTGGCAGTCTGGCTTTACCATCATGACAGGAGGCAGAAGTCATCATTTCACTGCAGAATGAGGAGAAATTAAAAACTGTGAAGTCTCTGAATTCCCAGTTATACACCTATGTTTTGAGATCCTACCAGGACTTCTAAAGCATGTCCAAAGACATCTGAGAATATGGAGTTACCAGGTCAGAAAATCAACAGTCTCACATTCTATGCCGAGTTCTGTACATTAATGAGCAACTGAGACCCAGTCGCCTGTGATGTGGGACACCTTTCTCTTGTCCCTTTTTGCTCATAGCAACAACTCTTTAACCAGACAGTGAAGAAGAATGAATGCTATAGTCCTTACGCCAATTAACTGAAAGTTGTAAACAACAAATACTGTCATGAGTTGTTTAAGATGTTAAAAACATACTTGGCTGAACTACTGCAAGCCCAACATTTTAAAAATGCAGTTGTTGATAAAAACCAGAGATGTCAATTTAGTCCCAAATTCCTCTTCCATCAGTCTTACTGCAGCTGTCAAAGAGACTCCCCTCGCAAGTGACCAAAACAAAAACCCTCAAAATGCAAATTCCTGAACTTCAGCCATACACAGATTTGGACCCTTGATGCTGGATTTAGTTGCTTTTCCAACAGTTTACCTTGCTTTTATTGACACCACCTGACAGGCTTTTAGAGTTTAAAAAAAAAGCTTTTCAGTGAAATTTGAAGGCCTTCCAACAGAACACTTACTGATTACTCTTAAGAACACACTGATAGAAACAGTGTGTGTGTATGGGTTATTTTATTGGTAAGGTTGGTAGGATGTCCACACACACACACACACACACACAGTTATCGTCCAAATCTTCCTTGCGTTGCTGACTGGGCCTCATTAGAGAATGAGCTCTCAGGACTGGAGACACAAAAGCCTTGCCCTCTTCTCCTTTTCTTCCCCTCTCTTCCTCTGTTCTCTTGGCCTTTTGATGTCAAGGGTGCTGAACCATATAGTGCAGAGTCCAAAGAATAAGCTCATCAAGAACACACACACAGTTATTGCTGTGTGTGTGTGTGTGTGTGTGTGTGTGTGTGTGTGTGTGCGCACTCGCTCAGAAACGAACACAGAGAGCTACAAGCCCAGATAAGGTGCTGTTGTTCTGTGGTTGCTGGTCAGTTCATCACACAAAGAGCAGTGTTGGGAGCTGCAGCACTGCGATTGAGTGATAGAGACATCACAAAGACTACATTTTACTCCCCTTTTCCTGCTGGAGTTCAGGGGCTGCCCCATAGAGACCCACCCACTGCACACACAACAACACACACTAAGGTCCAGCACATGTCTGTCTCACACTTTCCCTGTACCCAGCAGAAGAGGATACATAAGGAAATGACCCAATGTGGAATGAACAAATAGAGAGCGTGATGCTGATTCATGAACAGCCAGCGGCAATTCATTGATACGGACGTGGAACATTTTTGCCGTATTGTTTCTGATGAAAAGCTCTTTTGTGTTGTGATAGCAGCTGTAGTAAATTTGAGCAGGTAATTTAAAAGTCAAACATCAGGGGTTGTTCCTAAGTTACATGTTTGGGATGAATACAAGAACACGCAGTACTGCCCTGTGTTAATGCATGACCAGCGGCCAAACATGCAGACAACAAGTGTCTTATGTGTCAGATACACAAGGAAGAGGACAGCAACGCACTCTAGTTAAATTTAATAAAATTAGACACTGTTTTACAGGGGGGACAGGCAAAGCCACAGCATGAATGCTACAGCAGAGACGTCTCTTTGTTTTGTTCTCATCATTCTTAGCAGTACAGAGGGAGTGTGGAGCAGGAACATTCAGTATGATCAGTAAGAAAACCTAAAATCACACTGACCTTTGTAACAACACAATGACGTGTGATTCACTCTGTAATTCAAGAGGAGGATGGTCAATAAAAAAGCCTGAATGGAATTGTTCATTTAATATTTCAGGATTGGGGAGAATTTAAAGAAGACTTCCCACAAGGCCAAGGCTGGGCGCCCAAAAGTTATCACGATAAAAAAATGTCATCTCATTCGATATTGATAATTATCAGGTCAAATCATTATTTCTTTCAAGTTTAGAGGCAGATTTTTGCTCCTAAGTGATAGTTGATGAAACCAGATGGTTAATTGTGGTTTTAAACTTTTCTTGGTCAGAAGAAACACTTGATACCAAACAGCGGATCCCTCCGGATTAAAAACTATTATGATTTTTAAAGAATCAACAAAAATGCATGAGTAAAGTTAAGCAAAATATTTTTTCCTCAACAAAATAAACATTTTCATTCAGTAGAAAAAATAAGTGCTAATTTGTTTGTAATTCAAATGAATTAAATCAAACCCTTAGTGAACATTTATATTGTTTTTGAGGAAATTTATATTTTGATAATTATCATTGCTTTATTGCCCAGCCCTACCCAAAACCTTTTTACATTATAGACGATTAGGTCCTGGCTGAGGCTAGTCCAGGCATGGCCAAGTATCACGTCGTTTATACCCACCAACGTCCAAACGTTTAATCCCACCCACAGTGGTTTGTTAGCTTCACAGATCCATAGGCAGTCCTCTGACAGCTCCACTTCTACTAAGTGTTGCTCCTTCGTTAGCATGGACAAGTGTGAGTTATCTTATTGTTGAAACTTGGAAGTGAAACGTGTCAGGTGCTCCTTTGCTCATCATTCGCAGCACCGGAGCACCACAGGGGACCGTGCTCTCTCCCGTCCTCTTCACCTTATACACATCTGACTTCCAGTATAACACCGGGCTCTGCCACATGCGGAAATACTCAGACAATACTGTGATAGTTGGCTGTATCAAGGATGGACAGGAGGAGGAGTACAGGAGCCTGGTAGAGGACTTTGTGAGGTGGTGCAGGACCAACCATCTGCAGCTGAACACCTCCAAGACCAAGGAGATGGTGGTGGACTTCAGAAGGAAGAAACCACATCTCCAACCTGTGTCCATCGAGGGGGTTGATGTAGAGGTGGTCAGGATTTACAAATATCTGGGGCTGCAGCTGGATGACAAGCTGGACTGGACAGAAAATGTGGACACTCTCCACAGGAAAGGGCAGAGCCGTCTGTACTTCCTGAGAAGACATCAACATTTGCGAAAAACTGCTGCAGATGTTTTACCAGTCAGTGGTGGCCAGCGTCCTCTTTTATGCTGTAGTTTGCCGGTCAACTGGACAGACTGGTGAGGAGAGCTGGCTCAGTGGTGGGCTCAGAGCTGGACTCCCTAGTGACAGTGGCAGAAAGAAGGACCCTGGACAAACTGTTGTCCATACTGGACAACGCCCACCACCCTCTGCACAACACCTTCACCGGGCAGAGGAGTGTGTTCAGTGGCAGACTGCTGTCCCAGCCCAGCTCCACCAACAGACTTAAAAACTCTTTCGTCCCCCTGGCCATCAGACTGTACAACAGCTCCTAGTCATGGAGGACAATAGACAAAAGAACAATTTCTACCTCCATCTGTACTCTTTACTTCCATCTGCACTCCATTTGCACTGTTTACTGTTTTTGCACTGTTTTACTGTGGCTACTGTGTTATAAGTTATTTTAATTTTAATTCTATTTTAATATAGGTTTAATGTATGTATGTTTCGTATGCTACTGGATACTTGAATTTCCCTCAGGATAAATAAAGTATATATCTATCTATCTATCTATTCTAAAATGAACTATTGGTATATAAAGACAGGTGGCCTAAAGAGAACCGGTTTTAGATTAGCAGGATGTGGGCGAACCATTAGCCATTTCAAAACTTGTTATGGAAGAAACCAACAGTTGACATCATGACACATTACTTGTGCTAGTGCCGTGTTAGTAAAGATTATGGGTGTCAAGCAATTTTCATGGTAACAAAGTGACTAATTAAAAATAGTTTAGTGCTGTAGCAGTGGTCTGAGTTCAGTCTAAGTTCACTCAGTAGCACACGTGTTCTTCTCTTATCATTGTGTGTGTATGTCTGTGGTTTTTATGCTCAAGAAACATTTCACTAGCCATGTTTCCATCAACTCTTTTGCGCATTTTGAAGTATCGCATTAGAAAAGGTTGGTGGAAATGGCAAAATTTGAAAAATAAATCCTGAATTTTGCGAAATAGTCACTTGAGGTGGTTTTTGCCTTGGTTGA